TAAATATTATAATAATTCTCTAACTCTGATCAAAGTTTTTGGATGGGAGAAATTTGATGACACTAAGTGAAGCCTGTGGAACCTCCTCACAGTTTCTTTTATCCATAGTTCCTATGAACCATTAGCAAAAAGAACTAAACAATGTCTATGAAACCAGAATAGTTTCAATATAATTTATTTCATTATAATAAATAATAATATTTATTATATTATTTATAATTTATTTAATTATAAATTAATTTATTTCAATATAAAAGCATTTTGTTTTTACTTATCAATGAAAAGTATTATGTTTGTATGTTAAAATTAAGTGAGATATTTAAGATAGCCCCACCAGGAAGATTTTAAATCTATGGGAGATCAGGGAGTATCTGGACATTAATTAAACAGGAAGTAATTGCTAACAAAAACAAAAAATAAGAAATTAAGCCAACCTTTTCATCTCCTGTCCAGGAAGTATCAGTATTTTCTCCTTCCACATAACATACACAAAATTGAACTTTGAAAGGTAATGATTTCCTGACAATTCTAAGTTGAGCTCCTCTGCATAGACGCTTCTGTTTTAGGAAAACAGGCTATAGCCAAACTAAAAGCGATCACCTAAGCAGAGAGCTGGAGACCACATGAAATGCATTTTTAGTAATATCAGGAAAAGGTATATTCATTACTTTGTTTGGGGCTTCACTTTGTTCTGAAATTGATGGTGGATGGCCTTCTGTCATCCTCTATTTTCTCTTTCTAGGGAGCAACAAGGAACATCAGAGGTAGATTCCTCCCGTGGAGGACCAGTGGGGTGAAGGGGAATTTAACATAGCTGATTTCATCATCCAGTTGCAGTACCATAAATGGGGGAAAGTTGCACTCTGGAGCCTTTCTCCCCTTTTCTCCCAGGAGCCTGGGAACCAGTGCCCCAGCCTCATTTTCAGAGAGACACCTGCCCTGTGGCCAGAGCAACAATGCTGAACAAGGTGCACCTATGGGCTTCCAGGACCTGCTCTCCGACTCTCGCAAAAGAAAACAAAAATAATAGACCCAATGATTCCCAAATAACTCCCTAAGGAACCCAATATGCTCTTTAAAGTGATTTTTTTTTCAAAAGAGAGCTTTTCTAAATAGAAAAGAATGGAAATAATTAAGTCAAGAGATACAATCCTTGGATTGACATTTACCTGTTTGAGCCATACATTTGTTGTCATCAGCTGGTTCTTTTCATCCTAATAAAATGACAAGTAATAAGATGTAAATTCAATTTAAGAGAAGTCATGTTTTGGATTTTTTTTTTTTGTCAAAAAGACCTCTGTGAGTCTTACTTTTGAGATGTTCAAAGTGTAAAGGATTCTCAACTTAAGAACAGTTAAATGGCATGGCATACTAAAATATGTACATTTTGCTTAAAATGAAAAATAATAATTAAAAGCAAGTAGCAATTCATTGTGGTGATATTTATATAACATTACATAACCCAGTAAGCACTTTCAGGGTGCAAAGTAGAAGGAACAAAATATTAGCTAGATTGGAGATGGGTTTTGCATGATTTTCTAGAAGGAATCCTGGGGCATTGAGTCAGCTGAGGTGGGTGAGTGTGTGTGCATGTATGGTGGGGTGGAAGATTTGGGCAACGTGGGAAGATTATTCTGGGACCCTGGGGACCACAACAGGAGGATTTTGCAGAATTTGGGTTGTTACAGTTCATGATTTTCCAGGAATGCAATCATGGCAGAAGTGCAAGCCCAGAAAGAAAATTAGCAGAGAATGTTATTGAGGTCATGGAAAGGTATGGGGACCTAAGGGGGTCAGGAGGATGATGGTGTCACCCAAGCATTCACTCTGGTTCTGTCATCATCTATCTGCCCCCTCTCCTGCAGACACCCTGCCAGCCCTCCCGCAGCTGAGATGACACAGGGTCAGCCCTGGGCTCAGTTCTCCCTTATCTTCAGCCCCCACTCCTCACCATGGGTTCTCACTCTGGGTACAGCAAACCCGCCAGTGGCAATGCCCATCCTAGTAACCACATCCACCCTCCAGCAAAAACGTTCTACACTAACAATGTTGCAATGAAAATGTACTTTGTGACACTAGTTATTCTTTCTTCGGGTCATCTCACTGGCTTCTTGGAGCAAATTTTCTCTCACAGTGTTATTTTTAAAATTGAAATGGCAAACATGGGGAAAGAAAACAAAATAAAACTTAAGACTCACAAACAGGTTCAGGAATGCATGTTCTTTTTAGCTTTGTGCCAAGGATTACTCACCACATCTACTAGCTGAGATATTTTCAATCCAAAGTATACTTTTATGGTGTCATTAGCATTTAATACAGGGCGAACCCATTTCTGATAACCTTGGAATAAATGTCTGAGGAGGGCATCTTCATTTTCTGCTATTGAACTGAGTCCTGCAGCGGCTGTAAGAATCATGAGGGAACCTGGATTAATGGCAGAGGCATAATGGCTGCTTTCACATTCTGTGGCCCCAACTTTCATATATTTCTAAACAGCCTAATTCAGTAAAGGCAGTCTTCAGGGTACAGGGGTTCCCTTTAACTATTCTCCATGCCCACAACACTAAGAGAAGACTATACTTTACCCAGAATGTTACTCACATGAGGTTTTCCCATCTTGAGGTCAATACCTTGACAGTCAAGGTATTGAAGATTATCTGCAGTCACCCCTTACTCTCTACCTCACATCTCACCTGAGATGCTGCCTCCTTCAGACATGCTCTCTGCCCACATGCTGTCATCCATCACTGCACCCTGCTTGGCTCCTTCACATCCCTTATCATCATTTATTGTATATTTGTCACAGCCTGTCCTCTCCTCGAGCTCCATGATGACAGAAACAGTATCTGTTTTACTTGGTGATGTTTATCCAGAACCTAGAACAGTGCCTGTCCCATAGCAGGTGCTCATTTTATATCTATTTACTGAATAAACCAATGAAGGGACTGTGTTGGGGCCTTTTCCCATGCATTCAGCACATATCCATTGAACTCTTGCCACGTGTCCTGCACTGTTCTCTGGCCTTCCTCTGGAGGAAGTCTTCCCTCATGAAGACCTTCCCTGGTCAACAACCAGGTTCTCGCACTCTTCTCCACCCCTAGGCAGAGANGCATGATGCCTGAAAAATAATGGAATTACACACTCTAGATGAGACATTATCTAGTTTAGACTTTTATATTTGTGAGGATCAATCCTTGAGAAAAACTTTTAAAAGATATAGGTCTTTAAAAAGCTACAATCTAAAGGATAAAAAAAAATTGCATGACTATTTATTGAAAACCATGCTATGAAGACTGACAGTTTAAGGGCCCAAACTAATGAAGTATTTACCATGTTTACTTGGTAATCACAAGGTTCTCTTTCCCCCCCCCTCTTCCTCTGCCCATTTTGAAAAGCAAATATAATTTCCTTCCTATGAATAATTTGTCTCCTGTTAAGGAGACTTTTACTATCAGCAGCAGATCTGAATGTCAGAAATGTTGAAGGGAACTCAGAGTAGTATTTATTGTTTGTTTTACTTTCACTTCATTTATGTTTTAAAATTTACTTACAATAAAATGCACTTTTTTATGTACAGTTCTATATGCAAACAGTTGTATAATCACTAACACCATCAAGATATCATAACAGCTCTTTGCCCAACAAATTTCTCATTTATAATCAAACCCTCCCACATCCCCAATCACTGGCACCACTGATCTAGTTTCTATTTCTATAATTTTGCATTTTCTAGTATGTCATGTAAATGGGATCATACAGCAGAGAGCCCTTTGATCCTGAATTACCTTTGGACATTTGTCAAAACCAATTAACCATATATGTGTGTGGGCCTAATTATGGGCTCTTTGTTCTGTTTCATTCATCTACGTGTCTCCTCTTTCCCCAATACCACACTGTCAGAAATGTTGAAGGGAACTCAGCTTACCATCACTTTCTATTGAATTTTGTAATCACATAATATGAGTCCTCCAACTGTATTCTCCTTTTTCAAAATGGTTTTGGCTATTCTAGTTCCTTTGTTTTTCCATATAAATATGTGATAAAATCACTCCACTGTCACCCTCCAGCTGTGGGAGAATCTGACTATTCTTCTGCTCCAGGAATAGGCCTGCACCTCAGCCCTGCCCACCGTGATCTTTAGGGACCATATTGGAGTCGACGAAATACCATGGGACTTCCGGGACCACTGGAAAAGAGGCCAGCCATTTTCTCTCCTGCTGAACTTGAACATAGGAAGCACTTTGAGGCTGGAGCTGATGTAGTCACCCTGCTCCACTGGAGAAGCTCTGGATGGAATGGAGTCACCCAGAGGATGAAAAGCCCAGAGACAGCCAGAGAGAACACTAGGCCCTGGGAATCTTACTTGAGCCTCTGGATCAAGTTACATGTAAAGCCAGCCTTGCCCCTGGACTTTTCAGATTGTGAGAGCCAATACATTCTATATTTGCTTATGCCAGTTTAGGTTGGGTTTTCGGTCACTTGGAACTAAAAAGTTCATAGCTGATCCTGGGAAGAATCGAGTAGATATGAAGCAGGCAGCATGCTGCAGGCACACGGGCAATGAGCCCCCAGGACAGACGGAAACTCAGATAGATTGACTGGAGCTGTGCTCTTACACTCTAGCTCCATCTTGAAAAAACAATGTTAGTGAGCACGGCTAATGAGTTCCATCTCATAGTTCCTCTGTTTGGAACATGAAGATTGCTGGAAACAAAATCGCCTGCTTCTTGGATCCAGTTTTCTCTCTTCTCCAGGCACAACCAACCTTTACCTATGTCCAGTTCTCCACTGCAAAGTAGGAAGGTGGACAGCTAAAATTTGGGAGCCCTTGCAGTTTTTTTTGCTGGTGCAAATTCCAGCAAACAAACACCGGTTTTGCCAGATGTTCCAAGGGAACTGGGCTGAACCCCAGGGCGAGGAATTTTTAGTCAGAAAAATTTGCCTTGCTTACTGGCCCTCCAAAGCAGGATGAACAGCTGTGGCCAGAGGNAGACTCGTTCCTAGTGGTAACTGTGTAGCCACATCTTCAAAGCCGGGGTAAAAATGAGAGCCGAGCCTGTAACTGACACTATCAGAAAGAGCCACAGGAAGATGCGGTCGAGAACCTGAGCTACAAATTTCCAGTCTTGTACTACCTGCAAAAGAGAAAGAGATGCTTTCCATTTAGGATACTGGGCAACTGTTCTGAATTCATTTCAAGGGATTTAAAAAGAGTAATATTCAGATTTACAGCACATGTTTTCAAAATACATCTAACCCAATCTCCCGAAGTGTAGGCTCAGATTCTTTCCCTTAACTTCGCTAACAGTACCCAAGGAAAACAGCCTGTGAGCACTTTATCAACATTGAAGGCATAGAATTGGAACAACAGAATCATTTATGCATTTATAAACATTACTGATTAAAATGGGAAAAGCCTGAGTTTTACACAAATAAAAAGCCAGTATCTCTTAGTGTGATGCTTCCTGATATTACATATGAAATAAATTGCAAATTTATAAATTAAGAATTTTCATGGCCCAATATCACCAGTCATCTTTCCCTCCACTCCTCATGTGGGTGTGGCTGCTACAACTCCAAAATGATGGACACTGCCGAGGGGAGCTGACCAGGAAATGACAGGACTTCATAAGGGAGAGAGGAGACCTAGTCCCTTTGGAGAAAGGGAAGTTGGAGGGAATGGTCAACAAGCCTCTAAGCCCAAGGTCAGAGCAAGAACAAGCAACGAGGCTAAGGCAGTCTGAAGAACAGGGGCCAGTTCTCATCTTTCAAGGGATAATAAATGTCCTATTTCTACTACGTGGGGATTTTGTGTCGTGTCTCAAGTCATATAGAGTCTGGGTAGAATCTGAGTCCAGGATTGTTTTGAGTCTGAAATTCACACCCTTGCCACACTGTTTTGTTTTTCGGTTTTTTTTTTAATCTGTGAGCTTTTTCTCTTACCAAAATATTTGTTGTAACACTTTCTTTTTATATTAATTAAAATTTTGATTCCCTCTGTTTCTTTATTTCCAAATACTATGGATAGAAATATCCATCATCCCATAAAAAAAATGAGAAATTACCAGAAACCAGAACGGCCAACTTAAAATGTAGAATTGAATTATTTTAAGTAGAGTTAAGTCTAATCATAGGAAATAGTACTTAATCCATAGTTGCTTCACTTTTCTTCATTCTATTTTTGTGAACTTCCTAAAAATCCATACCCAAATTCCTAATTTATGTCAGGGCTTGTTTTAAATTTTATAGGTATACAACAGATAGCTAATAATGTCATATTTTAAACAATGACAGCATTTTGTTGTAAATAGATGTGAAAATATTTATTTTTGGACTCTTCAATGGCAGCATTATTATGAATGTCAGTTTACTCACCTGGCTAATAAAATGTTCTTTCTTCACATGCCTTGAGATGTATCTAATGGAATCAGCTGCCTTTTCCAAGAAAGCAACCAGGACTTTTTCTCCATCACTAACGTGTTTTTGTTTCTTTTTTTCTAGGACTTTGCTTTTCACTACTGGTTTACTCTCGTCTTTATCTGGTAAAGAGTAGCGATCCACGTGGTCCTTCATGCAAAGTAATTTAGGAAGCTTTTGCAGAAATAGCCTCTTAACCCAAGGGGCCATAGGATGGTAAGTTGATGAAGATCTGTGGTGAACATTAATGACAAACACGGTAACAATAATCGACAGGGTAACGAAAATCATAATGAACAATAGGTATTCTCCGATGAGAGGAATGACCTTTGAAGAAGATGGAATTATTTCCTCAATTACTAAAAGAAAGACTGTCAGGGAAACCAAAACAGAGGTTGATAAGGAAAGTTTTTCTCCTTCGTCAGAAGGTAAGTAGAACACGAGAACCGTTAGAAAAGAGAGCCCCAGGCAGGGGATTATCAGGAAGAGGGTGTAGAACAGAGGCAGGCGGCGCAGGACGAAGGAATAAGTGATGAATGGATATGAATATAAACCGTCTCTTCTGTTTCCCTTCATCCCTTTTGCATTTAGTATTTCCCATTCTCCATTATCAAAGAAGTCTTTTCTGTCAACATTTTCATTGATCAAAATGAGGTCAACCATGGTGCCATCGTACGTCCAGGACCCAAACTTCATGGAGCAGTTCTGCCGGTCAAATGGGAAAAATGTGACGTCCATGGTGCACGAACTTTTATAACTGGCAGGAGGGGTCCAAATGACGGTCCCATTAGATTTCACTATGACTTTGGTCATGAGGGAGCCTTCGAAACGTCCATCAGCACTGTAGTAAAAGTAATTTCACTTTAATGGTTAGTTGGACACTATCAGTTAGGGTTTTTTTGTGGGGTTTTTTTTGTTTTTTTTTTTTGTCCACCACTGTACTACTATTTGTATTCTATTACTCCCCTATTACAGTCAAACAATATTTTAAAAAGAAATAATTCTCTTGTTACTTAAAGTTGTACATTTTTCTTAATTACTTTGCCAAAACCAGGCTTTTCTATTTCTAGTCCTAATCTGCCCAGTGTTGTTTTCTTCTGTGATACTTACTTTTCAAAGAGAACTATGTCCGGAAGCCAGAGAGATTCAGATGGAACTTTAATGGAATGAATTCCACCATATTCATCAGGATTCCAGCGTAATTTATGATCTGTCCATTCCTGCAAAAAATTAGTATACTGTAATTTTATTCTGAAGAGTCAATGTATTAGACTTTGGAATCTTCAAGTTTATGTTAATCCTCTAATCCAATGATTTATTTAAATAGGGAAATTCATCCACTTTGATCTTATGACCCTGTCTGTGGTAGCTCGAGAGCTATCACTGGAACCAGACTGGTCTCTGATCTTAGCCATACCCACACACCTGTTCTGCCTGGGATTTCCAAAATTGCCACATCTACTTCACAAAGAACAGGCTCAGCAACAAACGCTACTGATTTATGATCCATTTTTTGAGCCTATTTTCTCTTAAGAAACTACCAAAAAAAAAAAAGATATATCTAACTCAGTTTATTCTAGGAGACTTGGTCTAGTCACTATATATATACATACATATATATATATATATAATAAATATATATATATAACATATATGTGTATATATTATATATTGCCATATTAAAAACCTTTATTGTCTATCTTCACTATTGGCCACTCTACTCAACAAGTCTTAGTTGACCTGTGTGGAATGCATTCATAATTAATATCTTCCATTTCCTGTATCAGTTAGGGATTGTGTTCCACTGCTAGTAAAGACTTCACTGAAGTGGCCTAAAAATTAGTTTATTTTCTCATGTCAAAGAAGTCCAGAGATAGGTAGTTCAGGGCTTGTATGGAAACTACAGAAGGCATAAAGGATGCAGGCTCCTTTACCTGTTCACTCTAACTTCTGAAGTACCTGGCTTCCATCTTCAAGGTGCCACTGCAGTGGCAAAGAGCTGTTTGAGCTCCAGCCATCAGGCCCCAGTCTTAGAAAGAAATAACTGGAAGGGCAATGACAAAAAGGCAAAACAACAACAACAACAAAAAAAAGGCCTGTAGTAGTTGTCTACACTCTTTTTTGGAGCTTTATCAAAAGTCCAATGCAAAAACTTTTGTTTACACCTCATTGGTCAGAACTTATTCTATACCTATGGCCATACCTATTCCCAATGAAGACAAAAAATATATAGTTTTAAAGTAATAATAATAAAAACATTAGTGCAATTTTAAAATGCTCCCTGAATGGAAGGAGAGAATGGATATTGGGTAGGCCACTAGCACTTCTTGAATTTTTTCCACA